AGGCCAGAGAGAGTGCTGAGCTTGACACCATCATTTCTGATAGCCACAGTCTATCAGCAGCTGCCCTTTCCCTTTGCAGGATGCTTTATCTTTTACAAAATGCCTGTAAACGGTGACAATGCAAGTGTGCGTTCAACACCAGGCTCTCCCCCAAAAAGGGGAGTGCATATGTCTAGGTGTGCATTCATACAATTTATGATACATTTTACTGACATAAATATGCATAGCTGAGCACACGTTTACAAATAATAATAATATATATAATGTTTTTATTGTAAATTCCACAGGGCCAACAGATCTCCACAGCATGTCTTAAACGCAGACAAAACACTATATCAAGCCTGATTCTCAGCGTCAGCCAGGCTCCAGGAGGTAAATATTCCCACCATGGCCAATTTGAAGCTGCCAATGTGATGTCACTAAACATGGACTGAGAAGAGATGAGCAGTTAGCACCTGACTACATAGTATGTTCACCACCCTGATTAAAAAGATAGAGCACAGATGCCAGCAAAGAGTTTAGACAACAGTAAAATAATTAGGACGGGATAACTTCTGAATGTCTTACCTGTCTTCAAATATAATTATTTAATTTTAGGTTTATATCATTTAATTTCTCATGATCATTTCATTTCACAACTGGCACACAAATTCTTGTCTCAATCCCACTTAGCCCAGCTCCAGCACACCACTGAAAATTGTCCTCGTAACACCTTTGTAGGGCAAGTATTGCTAATCCAGGTCAGCCACAGTCATTTACACATGCAGCTGATAGGTTAAAACAGTTCATGTCTACAACCAGCACAGGTGAACTTGATAGAAGGCGAGATGCCCAGACCTACTCCCAGAGATCTGACTCCATAGATCTGGTGTGGGGGCCTAAGCGGCTGTACGTTAACAGGCACACCGCCCTCGCTACGCCAGATGATTCATTCAGAGAATCACAGCACCCAGCACTCACTGACTTCACATTCTGTGCCAAAGCTCAGAATACACAGACACAAAAGACACGAAAAAACCCGTCCTCAAGGAGAATTCAGAGACCAAGAATTACAACTGACCCTTGAACAATGTGGAAGTTTAGGGGTGCTCACCACCTGCACAGTCAAAAATTCAACAGCTGAATGCTGATCAGAGCCGTACCGATAATGCAGTCAACAAGTACTGTCCAGGTTACACATGCATATGCGCATTACACGCTGTATTCTCACAATAAAGTAAACTAGAGAAAATAAAATGTTTTTTTTCAAATTGTCACACACCTCCAAAAATTTTTCCAATGTATTTATTGAAACAAACCCACATATAAGTGGCCCCAAGCTGGGCAACCCCATGCTGTTTGAGCGTCGGTGGTATAATGTAACTATGATACTGGTACATACTGGCAGCTTGGGGAAAACAGCAAAATCCAACTTGAGAAAGGAGTCATGAGGGAAAATGATACCTGACGTGAGTCTTGAAGAAGGAACATAAGCTAATCAAGAAGAGAAGGGGACGGGAGGGAGGTTCAGGGCAGAGAGAATAGCATGTGCATGACCACACAGGCAAGGAGAACTCTGTCTGCTGGGTCAACAGCACACGCTTTGGGGCGGCACCTCTGACTCAAGTTTTGCAGCCATATTCATCGGGCACAAGTTTAAGCACATAGCTTGGAATGTATTTGTTAGAGTACGTTCAGGCACAGAGCTCACATGAGGAGCGATGGGAGATGGGGCAAAAGAGCTATGGCCGCGTGAGGAAGGACTTTCTAGAAGGCCTCGCATGAAGTAGCCACTCAATAAATCCCCGGCTGGTATTCTTTTTTCCGTATCAGTGTTGACAATTGGTTTTATCACCATCATAGGACTATTGCTGTGGAAGGATTTCCATGCGATGATAGCTAACCTACAAAGCCTAGAAATACAGAATGCTCTCATTGCTTTTATAATTGATATGCTAATTTCTCAGGGAAAACGACAAAATATCATCAGAATCAGGTATGAGAGAGAGTGCAACAAACTTAAGATCCTAAGGAAACAAACAGGTGATTACTACCTGTTATTTTTCCCATTGGTTATACCTCATTCTAATTAATCTGTTTTCAGAATAAAATGGGAACATTATAAATATTATTTTATGTTTTAGGGTTGCCATCATTTCAGCTATAGACATCGTAATTGGGTAACCAAATTAAAACTTTTATGAATTAACACAATAAAGAAAAATGAATGTAAGAACTCAATCATGGGTAGAAGGGAAGTCGGAGTTAGTTGTCCCCACATAAATACAGCTAAAAAATGTACCGTCACCCAAACATACCAAGTGTGTAGCCACTACACAACCTCCGTGTACACAGTCCCTGCTCCAGCGCCGCGCGTCCCGCCCCTCCTCAGGTCCCATCTCCTCTTTGCAGTGCCTTCCAAGCCCTCCATCCCACAGGGACCTCTTCCCTCCTGCCCAGGAGTTTCACCTGCGGATTCACTCCCACCTTACCGGATGTTACGCAATACTTATCTTCCAACCAGGGTTAACGTTTTTCAGAGAACTTCTCCTGCATTTCTCATGGAGCTTGGCCTCACGCCACGCGTATAAAAGACACTCAACCACTCGGTGAGTAGTGAACAGACCGCATGATTTCCATTGATTATATTTAGTCAAACTTCAATTGTCGATGTTTCTCACCTCCCAGAAAATGAAGATGAAAATGTCATAAAGCTTTCAAAAAGTCTTAGACTGGGGACAGTGAAAGGAGGTTATCAAAAGGGATTCTATTCCTGAGCTGCCTTTTAACTGTCCGCAAATCATCAGAGGCCTCTGTACAGAAGGCGAGGGAATTCCCTGCTCCACCTGCCCCTAGGAAGGCTGACGAGCACACAACTGTGCCTTGTCCCCACAGACATCCCAGGAAATAGGCTCTTTATGCACATCAAACAAAGAGGGGAAAGAGCACAGGTGTCCCATCGCTGCCTCTATCCTTGTCATCTTTAACCCACTTACTGAAGTTCAGAAGAGAGGGACTATTTACAGAACTCCATAATGAAATTACATACATTTATTTAATAAATGCTATTTCCCATACCATAAAAACAGCTAACACCTCTGAATAGTTTTCAGACATCCTCGTATTAAACCCCAGTAACACTCTCTGTAACATAAGTACCATGATTATCGCCATTTAGAGACGAGGAAGCTTAGATTAAGGAAGAACTGGCTTCAAGGTAAAAACAAGAGAAAGTCACAAAGCCAGAATCCGTAACCAGATCTGTTGTGCTACAGCCCGAAGAACACTACCATCTGCGATGACGAGATTCAGGTCTTAACAATCTAAGAACTGTGAGTACTTGAGTTTCTCTTTCAGGACTTCTTATTCTATTTGAGAATTTAAAAATTAAAAACAAGACACTAAGTCCAAGGTATGAAAAAAAGGCTGGCACAAGGGGATCCCCAGGGTCTGAGCAGCAAACGGAAACAAACTGGCTTAAAGCCAAGGACTTCAGGATTCCGGGGACACACCCACAGCAAGGACCAAAAAAAAAAAAAAAGGTGAAATGTGAACCCGACTGGTAGAAAGAGCAGCTAATGCATAATTTTCCCATCACCTCTGAACAACTTCTGAGAAATTCGGATTTAATTCACAGCATTTTTATATTCATTCCACATACAGGCCACATACCATTCGGAGCTGCAGATGGTGAGTAGAGAATAAGAACTCTAGAAGATGCTGTGATCAGAGGACTTTGGGCTATGTGTTTTTTGCATACACTTATAATAACCTTGCTCTAGCATTCAAAGTCAGCGTCAAGGGAAAGAAAAAGGCCCAGAAATGAATGTCTAAAAAGAGTTTTCCCTATAGCTTCACCTGTTCAACTGACAGAACAAAACCTCGGGGCGCACCTAGAGCTGCGGCCACGATAAGGCAAGAGCTCCGTGTTGGCTGTCACTGTCAGCACTGCTGTGTTCACAGTCTGAGGTCAGCGCTAAGAGGCAGCGAGCAATCACGGCTGCGCCTCCAGAACAGCTAACGGCCATCCGCTACTGCCCATTAGCACCTCTGCCGGGGCTGTCGGGTGCTGGAATGTGCGCGCGCCCGCGCACACGCACTATTTGATTCCGCTGGCTTTAGACTCGGTCTTGTGAACATGCAAAATGAAGGACCCCTGGATTTACAGCATTTGAAGTTCTAGGGCTAATTTACTTCGGAGATCACCCATGTTGGTTAAATTTCTCCAAGTTTTGCTAAGGAAAGGTAAGAAATGATGACATTAAAACCAACATTGAGGAGAAAGTGGGCAAGTGAGACGATAGTTTACCACGAGAAGAGGGCACCGCGTGCAAAACAGGGAGCGGGCTTGGGGTCAGTGTTACAACCCGCAAATTCTCTCTCTCTGTTGCCATTTTCAATCTGGTGCCGTCCCCCCATCTTCTCCAATCTGTGCTACGGCCATCGCGCCGCCGTATTGACAGGGACACGAACCCGGAGAACCTCCGGCAGAGGAGTTTGACATGTACAGTCCCGGCAGGGTGTCGGTTTACAGTCCGTAGGCAAACGCGGCTGCCGGCAGGCGGAAAGTCGTGACTTCCCAGAATTTAGGAAAAGCACAGATTCGTCTGCCAGGAGGGCTGGAGCCGAAATCTCTACCTATCAGGCTTAAGGCAAAACGCCCGGAAGGGTGGGGGAAGCCCGCCGGAGGCTCCAGGAGGCGGGGGGAGCGCCGGTCTGCACACGCCCGGCTGGCCGAGCCCCGGCCCTGCGCGGCGGTCACGCGCCCCGGGCGCCCCAGGCCCCCCCGGGCCCGGGGCCCGTCACCACCCCCGGCAGCTCGGGTCCGGGACGCGGAGGGCCCGCAAAGGGCGCTGAGTCACAGCCCGGCCAACTTTGACAGCATTTCCCAGAAAGTCCGTCCCGGTCCTGCGGCCCCCCGCTCGCCCCGAGGTCCCGCCTGCGCTCGGCGCCGCCCGCCCGGGGAAGCCTCGGGTCCCACGGCGGGGAGCCTGCCCGGGACGGGCGCGGGCCGCGCTCACCTGCAGGACACCGACACCTCCACGCGCGTGGCCGGGAGGGCCGCGCTCAGCTGCGCCAGGTCGCCGAGGCCCGCGGCGCTGGTGTGGCGGCTGTCCATGCTGGCCGGGGGCGCCGACGGCCGGCCCGGCGCCCACATGCGCGGCTCGGGCGGACTGAGCGCCGCGCGCCCGGCTCCGGCCCGGCGCGGCCGGCGCGGGGCGGGGGGTGGAGGCAGGGGAAGGAAGGGGGCGGAGGCAGCTCGCGGCGAGGGCGGGGGAGGCGGCGCCGCGGGGAGGCCGGGCTGAGGGCCGGGGCGCCCGGCTTCCGTGCGCACCCCAGCCGGCGGCGGCCCCGGGGCACCTGCGCGCTCCCCCCGGGCTCCGGGCTCTGCGGAGCCGCCGAGCGGCCTGCGGGATGGGGACCGCACAGCCAGGCCCGAGCCGTCGGGGACAGCCAGCCGCGGCCCGCCCCGCGCCCTGGGGGCCGGCCTCCGCCCCCCGCACACCCCCGCCGCCCCCCGTCAATCAGCGGAGGACGCGCGGCCCGCGGAGCGCTCGCAGGGCTGGGACGCGGGAGGCGTGCGCTCCCGGTCCCGGCCCGGACCCCGTCGGCCGCCCGAGGGCTGGGGTGCGGGGACCCGAAGACGAGCGCCAGCTTTCTGTGCGCGGTGGCGAGGTGACATCAGCGCACGGGCCAGGCGGAAGCAAGGTGGACATTAAAGTGGTGCGCGCCGTGCGGGATCCCCGCGATCGGGCACACGGGCGTCCAAGGGTGGCAGTCCCCGTCAGGCGGGGCTCTTCTGCCCCTTCGCTTTCCAGCGCCTGGAACTTCAGTCCTAAAGCCTGGAGGTCCCAGCCCTACCCCGCGGCTCCGCCACCGCGACCCCGACCCCCGGCAATGGCTGAATGAAACTGGACGGAGAGAAGCGCGGAGGAGTCGCACCAAGCGCCCCGTGCGGGCCGCCGGATGCTGGGGCAGCGAGCCCGGGGCGGGATGCGGGAGCGGCCCCAGCGTGGGAGGAACCCGCCGCTCAGCGCCCAGGCGGCGACCCTTGCTGCGGCCCCTCCCCTCCGGATGCCGCCACCAGGGGGCGCGCGGGACGCGCGGGGCTCCCCAACCGCAGGACCCTCTTCGGGAGGCGCGGTTCCCAGGGCCGCGGACCTGCAGCGCGTTGTAACGTTTTGATGTCCCTGGAGCCCCCAGCCCGAGATTCTGCAGATCTGCGGCGAGGCTGTGTAGGCGCGGTCTTGCGGCTTGGGAAACGTTCGTTTGTCCAAATTCTTTCCTGTTTCCCCCACCGAGCACACGTCACCTCTTAAATTCTATCCTCTTTTCCTTTCACAGATTGAACTGTCGGTTATTACTGTTGGTTAACGTCCTAAAACCACAGACATTCCAACTATGCTGCCCAGAATTTGGGGGAAGAGACCTCTGTGTATTTTTTAAACTAACCAGTAAAAAAGTCTACCGAAGAAACGAAAGTTGAGAACTTTAGGAAAGTATTCAGCCCACAGGACTTTTACTTAATTACTTCCACTTCATTGTGTTATAACTGTCTTGTATAAACTGTACATATTTAAAACATACCATTGCTAAATCGTAAGGCATATATGCTCCTGGGAAGATGGTACCAGCTGAGAACGCTCTTTTTCCCAGGATCGTGCCCCAGAGACAAGAAGACTGTAGCCAGCAGACATGAGTACTGAGCAATCAACAAAGCTCTTTTAATCAGTGAGAAGAGAAAACGGCTGCTGCTCAGGAGGGGCTCCAAAGGAGGGCTGTGGGATCTGGGGTTTATACTGCCTCCCGGGAGGAGGAAGTCCCACCCTCCCCCAGACTTCTCCAACTTCGATCTTTTAAAAATTTTTGTCATTTTTCAATTATTTTCATTTGCATGTTTATTTAGAATCAGCTTGACAAATCTGCATTAAAAAATCTCACTGAAATTTTGATTGGGATTGAATTGATTCTATGGACTAGTTAGATAAGAGTTGCCATATTATCAAAATTAATCCTCTGATCCATGAACATTATGTATCTTTCCATTTATTCGGGTCTTCTCTAATTTATATCAGCAATGATTCACCAGCTCTAGCCTTACAAAATGTGTTTCTTAAATATTAAAACTTAAAAGTGAAAATGCCTCCTTGATCTATGGGCTGTAGATGTACGTTGAGTGGCAGGCATGAAAACAACATTCATGCTCCATCTCCATCAGAACTCTTGGGTGGCCAGGTGCTTTGCCAATGAACAGTATTATTTGGAGAAGAATCTTATTTTCTGAGCAGCAGGTCTCAACAGTGGGCTCAAAATACTCAATTACCCATGTTGTAAACAGATGTGCTGTCATCTATGATTTATTGTTCTCTTTACAGAGCACAGGCAGAGAAGATGGAGCCTGATTCTTAAGGGCCCTGGGATTTTCAAAATGGTCAGTGAGCACTGGCTTCACCTTAAAGTCACCAGCTGCATTAGTCCCTCACAAGAGAGTCAGCCTCTCTTTTGAGGCTTTGAAGCCAGGCATTGACTTCTCCTCTCCAGCTACAGAAGTCCAAGATGGCATCTTCTTCTAATAGAGGCTTTTGTCTACATTGACAGTCTGTCACTTAATGCATAACCACCTTCAGTGATAATCTCAGCTAGTTCTTCTGGGTAACTTGCTGCAGCTTCTCCATCAGCACCTGCTGCTTCCCCTGCACTTTTCTGTTACGGAGACGCCTTCTTTCCTTAAACCCCATTACTCAACCTCTGTTCTTTTCTTCTTTAGCTTGTTAGCCTCTCTCAGCTTTCCTAGAACTGAAGAGAGTTAGGGCCTTGATCTGGGTTAGGCTTAGTTTCAGGGAATGTTGTGGCTGGTTTGATCTTCTATCCAGACCACGCAAACTTTCTCCATTTCAGCAATAAGGATGTTTCACATTCTAGTCACTCGTGGGCTCACTGGAGCAGCGTTCCTAGTTTCCTTCAAGAATTTTTCCTTTGCATCCACAACTTGCCTGTTTGGTGCAAGAAGTCCAGCTTTCTGCCTATCTCGGCTTTCAATGTACCTTTTCACTAAGCTTAATCATTTCTAGCTTTTAATTTTTACAGTGAGAGATGTGCAACTCTTCTTTATTACTTGAACACTCAGAGGCCACTATAGATTATTAATTGACCTAATTTCAGTATTGTGTGTCTCAGGGGATAGGGAGGCCTGAGGAAAGAGAGACCAGGAAATGGCTGTTGGGTGGAGCCGTCAGAACACATATAACATATATGGATCTTATGTGGATGCAAATATGTGGCACCCTAAACCAATTACGACAGTAACATCAAAGAGCAGCAATCACAGATCATAGTAACAAGTATAATAACAATTAAAAGGTTTGAAATGGGAGAATTACCAAACTGTGACAGAAAAGTGAATAAATGCTGTTGGAAAATGCAGGGTTATCACAAATCTTCAATTTGTAAAAAAAAAAAAGCAGTATCTAGGAAGTACAATAAGTGAAGTGCCATAAAACAGTGTATGCCTGTACTATATTCTAGGCATTGTGCTAAATCTAGGAGGTAAAACTCCTTCTGGCAAGGCGATGCCTGATTGGGTAGAGATAAGACTGAATGAATCATGGAGTTATTTATACTTCTGAGATCGTATTATTCCACAACATCAGAAAATATTTCAGTTTGTAAACTAAACTGTCCATTATTTGGGGGGAGCGTTTATTTACAAAATAGCATGGTTAAAAATAGAATCAGGTCGCCTGGAGAGGATGTCCTTACAATGTAAGGACAAAGTTCATTTAGCTCACTGGCAAGTAGCACATCGGCACTTACAGAAATTCGAAACAAATTGGACTGAGCAGGTCTTCAGGCTGTCGCTACACCACTGGAAAATGTGACCCAACATGATTCTACCCCAAGATAAGCGAGAATACCAGCATTGCCAAATGGTCATCTTCACAATGTCCTTGGGAAATAGGTATCTGTATAATCACCTTAGCCATTAGACCTGTTCTGTGAAGGCAAAATTTATAAATTAATCTTATATAATTGCAAAGAATGGACTAGTTGTTTAATTATGGGGAAATAGCAGCAGAAGGAAGACATTTCGTAGGGTGGCCAAGACATGATCTCTGCGTACCTACCTGCTCTCTGACCTGCTAATCATTTGGAGGTGATTTACCTAAAATGGACCAAGTCTGCAGAAAATTCAATCATTTCAGACATTAAAATAGTATTACTAATACCTTTAGCTTAAAGTTATCTTTGTGACTAAATAAGATCAATATCTCACCAATCTTACAAATACTACCTTTCTAGTGATTAAGGCAGTCAGAAAAACATCACTTTTAGAATATCACAAATAATAACAAAATTAAGATATGTCCTGCATAACTGTCCAGGAACTTTAAATCCAATATTATAATCAAGTAACACCTTTCTAAGGGATCTTAGATGGTTATTTAGATAAACCTATTCTCCAGCAAATTTTTTTTCTGTTTGATAATTTTTACATTCAAGAAAGCACTTAGACTAAAGGGTGCTTTCAATTTTAGAACTTCACACTCAACAATCAAGCATACAGAAGAACATACTTCACAGTGTGTTTTGAAGGTCTGAAGTTGGTTTGGTTAATATTTGGTTTTCCACCATCACAGCCATTGGCTCATCTACCGGCTGTTCAGTAAAGATGCCCTAAACTTGGTGGAGTTCGGGGAGGGCAGGGAGGCCCAGGACAGGGACCACAGCAGGGGTGGTCATCTTACTGTGAATCTTCTTTTTTTAAATGATAGTATCACAGGTATGTATTGATGGGCAATGGCCTGTCCAAAACTGAACCACTCAAAACAGTGGTTTTACTACTTTTCATGGTTCTGCAGGTCAGCAGTCAGGATGGGCTCAGCCGGGTAGTTCTGCTCCACGAGCTGTGGGCTAGGGTCATGCACAGGACTGTGCCCAGCTAGCGCCTGGCAGGCCTGGAAGAGCTGGGTCAGCAGGTCAGCGGCCTTCTCCCAGGTGGCTGCTGTGTTTTCTCATTCGGCAGTACAGCCTGAACTTCACAGCATGGTGACTGACTTTCCAGGAGACGAGGTGGGAGCTGCAAGGCCTCTGAACCACTAGGCCTTCAACTGGCACAGCGTCACCCCCGCTGGCTCCAATTTGTCAGAGCCAGTTACCAGGCAAGCCCAAATTCAAAGGGGGCAGGGAGGTGGCTGAGCTGACTTAAAGGATGGAGCACCCGCACATACTAGGAGGGAAGGAATTGATAGCAGTCATCTTTAGGGACCATCCACTACAAATAGTTGATTCACTTGTGGCTAAAATAATCATATATCCTTCATTTAAAAGAAAAACAAACCACGTATCTAATTTTTTCACCTCTTTAAATTTGAAAACTAACATAAGTCTATATTAGGAACCAGAAATCTCATAGCGTACATTGTAAGGGGTAGGTTCACAGTAGTAAGCAAGGATTAATCTTCAAGAGTGGCTTTGCTAAACCACACATTGAACAGTTGGGGGAAGAAATCGAGAAAATACAAAGATTGTGTCCCCTGCTCTCAGGCATCTTAGTTAGTGTGAGACCCCCACATCAGCTCAACACACCAAGAAAAAAAAATGAAAGAACAAGAAATGAGTGATTCGTCATGAGGTTATGTGGTATAGACCAACACGACTGGTGCTCAAAGAAAGACATATGATGAGAAAGAATAACCATGAAAAGTTTCCTGGAGAAGTGGGACTTGATATTTTCCAAGAGATAATAGGAGAGGACAGAGCAATATAGGTGAGGGCAAAAATATGAGCAAATATAGAAGTAAAAATAAGTATTGCATAAGCTTGTACAGCAGTGAGAATACCCAACTCACCAGAGAAGTATGCCAGTTTGCATAGAGTGAGGTTATCTTAAAAGACCTCATAATTAGAAAGAAGATATGTAAAAGGAGGGTCAAGCTAAAGTTATCCAATCCTACCCAATCCCACTGGGTAGCCACAAGTCACAATGAATATTTAAGAATTTATTTAAATTAAATGAATATTAAATAAATTTAACTGTAGTGCTAGACAGCCACCCAAGGCTAGTGGCTACCCTACGAAATTGTGCAGATGGGAGAACATTTCCTCTGCACTGTAGAGGTTACCGGACAACAGACATGTGCTGACAATGTCTTCTACTTCCTAATTTCTAAAATCTATTCACTTTTCACTTCCCCTCTGCTTTCACTGGGGTAATGCAACCCCCTCCTACCTTGTCTCCCTCTCTGGTCATGCCCTTCTGCAACCTGCTCCCCCTTCTGTAGCAAGAATGCACCTTACAAAACATGAACTTGGTTTTGTCAAAATTGGGCCCAAGTCATGCATGCCATTCCCTCTGCCTGGAATACTCCTCTGTGCCTCTTTCCCAGGTGGACACTTATTCCTCAGGTCCCAGGTTAGATGTCACTTCCTTAGTGAAGCCTTTCCAAGTATCTCTGAGCCTCAGTATTTGTATCTTTAAGTATCTCTGAGCCTCAGTATTTGTATCTTTAAAACCATACCATCAATGATACACAGTCGTCAAAAATTAAAGATAATGTAACTTGAGTGCTTTGCTTTTAAAATGAGAGTAGTGATGCTGCTTGAAACCTCTAGCTTTTCTTCTCATGTAAGCTACCCACAGTAGTGCTGAGAAGCGCCACCTGTATGTCAAGTTCTAGTTTAAAATCACTTACACAGCTTATACGACTAAAGGGGATACACATTTCCTATAATTCAGTCACCAGGCCTTCCCTGAACCATTCTAGCCTACTATACTCCTCTCCAACTAGAAGTTTTTATTTTATAACTATCTTTTTAACTCCATCTCTACTTGGTCAAACTCCTATTCATCCCTCATGGCCTATCTAAAATACCAATTCCTCATTGAAGTGTGCAATAACGTCTTCACCTTGCTTTTAAATAAATAACCTAATAGGACAACTAACTTTAAGCACAGAGAAGAATCAGCGATAAAATTCTAAGATTTTTTTATCTAGCAAGGAAAAACAGCAATTAATATTTCTTCTCGTGTTACAGGCATTCACTTGAACATGATTATCCAATGATAACCAGTTAGCGTTAAGAACCTAGAGAGACAAAACACTATACTCCTTGAAATCCAGATGCCTTTAAAAGAGCCTGTCAGATTTTCATAGTTACTAAACACAGAACAGGTCTCACTTTTTATAAATGTTTCCAGCCTCCAAATTTATCAGAGGTTTCTTCCAAGTAGCTTTTCACTAAATCTGCGAATTCAAAGAGTTTGATTTTTTTCAGGGCTAGCATAGAAATCCATTCACAAAAAATGAATCAGAAAGGGTAGGACTAAGAGCTCTGAAACTTACCAAAAGGAAACATTCTTCCACAAGGACTACAGAGTCTGAAATATTTTGCTTCTACCAGAGCCTCCCTAAATGCCCCAAATAGGCTAGGTCATAGCACCTTTCACCTTTAACTGTCATAATTAGATTAATTATTGCATGACAACTTGCTTGATAACCATTTCCCCTGCTAGGCTTCAGGGGCATAAGGACCCATCTGCCTTCTTCTCTGCTCCTCTCCTGTGCCCAGCGTACTGACTGAGGTGAGGCCACTGCTATGTGGCCAGGGGCTGTTGAAAGTATCGCAACTGCTTTGATATAGTGAGTTCAGGTGAGAGCTGGGCCCTCAGGTGCAATGCGCAGCAGGCATCTGGGGCTGTGGAGAGTGGACTGGGTGGAGTCAGTAGCTTAGAGTTAGTAATGAAGCCGTGCATTTGTGTGAACACTCCAGGGAAAAAGGAAAGAAAGAGAAAAAGAAGATTCAAGTCTAATGACGAGCTGCCCTGGAGAAAGGAGGAGGGAAGAATGATCCCACCAGAGAAATGGGAGGGGAAGGAGCACCTAGACAAATGGGGAGAAAAACTGCAGGATCAAGACACTGAGGATAAGGAGAAAAGACTTTTAAAGAGAAAGACCCAGTGGGTCCCAGTGGGCCAAGGGCCCTTGGCTGCGAAGGTCGCATTGCTGCCTCGTTACGGTGCTACCTTGTTCTCTTTCTTGGGCAGTTACCAATATTGCAGAATCTTCTAAAGCCTTTCAATTATCATTCCAGGTGTATCTTTCAGATTCTTCTGCTGAAATGCCCCCGGAAGCTCCCCTCGAGCCCCACTCTACTGCTTGGGGCATTAATCCCACCCTCCCCCAGAGGCCATCAGTGCAGAAAACACGTAAGTATGCAATTGCATAGCTGAGGACCTCATGCAGGAACAACCCCGCCTGGCCTGATAAGTGAGGAATCAATGCCTAATTTTCAAACCTGATTTACATCACTCCTAGAGCAGGGCAGGTAAGTGTTCATTAGTGTGTGGTTGGAATCTACTCTGGTTCTTTCCTGCTTGGACAATTTGAATGTGCAACCATGCAAAAGAATACAAGTTTTGTTGGGAACTAGACAGACACACAGAGACAATAATCTAAATCTTGAGTATTTAATAACTTGCTGAAATTAACATTGGCAACAATCCAGGCTTTTGGTATATTGGCAAATAGTTACTTTAATACAAAAATGCTAAAATTCTGCCGGACTTTTCTCTAACTGGCCAAGGGGTTTAGGCAGAACTTTGTAACTAACAAAACAGTTTTTCACAACCATGATAATTGCTGTGAAATTTACCAGGATTTGTCACAGTAGATGGGGTATTTTCTATTCAAGTTCAAATAATTAAATCACTGTGTTTCCCAAGTGAGTGCCTTAGAATGTTGTAAGGTTTGTAGAAATAAATTGGGGGTTTTGCTTTGGAAAAGTTTTCACGGTCACAAGGAGTGGTCTCTTTGGTTGAAAAGGAGGGACTTAAGTTCTTTATTCTGAGTATGTGTTGAAGTTTAGTGTCTGCTTTAACAAAAGGATAATTTATGGCATTTATTTAGTTCTTATCTAGTTAAAATTCATCTACCAAGAGCTGTCCATGAAACAATTATCTTTAAATTTCAACATCATAAAAATCAACCTGTTTTTGCCTATTGATGTTGAGGGACCAACCCCCAACAGGTGACACTTTTGCTAAGCAGCATTGATGCTGTTAGGAGAGGCACAACAGGACAATTCCTCTGCTGACAACCCACACATACTGTATTGACTGGAGCCACGGTTTTGTATTGTGTGGTCTTGTTTTGTAAATACAGACATGAAAAGAAAGTAAGACATTTAGTCTACTGAAATTAAAGCAGCTTATTTACACGACCTCACTGTGTCTCTGGACTTGACAAATGCTGATCTGATCAGTCTATGTCATTGAAAATTGTCTTGGTGAACTAAGAGATTCAAGTCTCAAAGTCCGATCTTTAACTCAGCAATAGTTTTCTAATGAGGTCACCAGAGACTTTAAAAACACTCATCTCATATGTTAAAACGTTCATATACTTTTACAAACTCCAGTGATCACGTGTTACACTCAAAATTATTTTATTTTTAAAAAAGCAACCAAATAGAATTCAACATTTTAAACTAATGCCCTGAAACAAAAAGAAAAATGACCAATGACCCAGTAGAAAATAATGGGCAAGAAAACTAACAATTTCACCAAAGAAGATAAACAAATAGCAAAAAATACATGAAAAAATGCCCAACATCATCAATTATTAGAGAAGTGTAGATTAAAACCACCATGAGACACCACTACACACTTCTCAGGATGGCTAAAATTAACAAGACAGGCCATTCCAAAAGCTGACAAGCTTCTGGAGTATGTGGAACTGTCCAACCCTGCCGGTGGGAAAGTAAAACGCTACAGCGTCTTCGGAAAACAGCACGGCAGTTTCTTAAAAGTTAGACATGAACTGACCACGTATGTGATCCAGCCATTCTACTATGAGGCATTTTCCCAAGATAAATAAAGATGTTTATGTGAATGTTCACAGCAGCTTTATTTGTAATAGCTGAAAAGCAGAAACAAAAATGGATGAATAAACAAATTATGATATATCTACACAGTGGAATACTACTCAACAAAAAAAGGATTGCAGAAATATGCCTTGTCTTCCATTTCAGATCTCCCTGGAGAGTTCTTCTGTATCTGTTAAGACTTATTTTCTGAGAAGAATGATTTTTCAATAGTGCTGCTGAATGTGCAATTCTTACACAAATATTTCTACAATTACCCTGTTTCAGTTATAATCCATTTTGGAAACAATAGGACTTTTATTGTATTTCCTGTATCTGTTGTAATAGAAGTTTTGTTACAGAAAATTATGGTAGAGTCACTATTATGATTCTGAAATTTTTATTTCAAATTGGTCATAGTCATAGGATGGAAATGCTTTCTCCCAAGTAGTTCTCACTTTCACACTGTTTGGGACTTTGTTCAAGGGCAGAATGTTTTCTTTTGCTCCAGCACAAATTGTGGCTGAGAAATGACCCCTGGCCTTTGTTTGTTAGCTTGTGGTGCACACACCTGCACACAAAATTAAAAAAAAAAAATTAACTGTTGATATAGGCAACAAAATGGATGAATCGCAAAATGATTATGCCTTATGAAAGAAGTGAAAAGCGAAAGAAGTCAGGCAAAGATATTACATACTGTATGATTTCAGCTATATAAAACTTCAGAAAATGTAAACTAACCCAGAGGGAAATATAGCAGAACAGTGGTTACCTGGGAACCATGATTTGCTTAAAGAAGCAATTGTACGTGGTTGAATATACAGTTCACCCAAAACAAAATGGTCTGCAAAAAAATAATCAAGCCAGCTGGCAACGGACTGTGCCTGTCTATCAATCAGCAGAGAGTGAGTCAAGACATCTGACTGCTGAGCCCAGGGCCTGACACACAGATATGTGTGGTAAAAATGTATTGAATGAAGTACAAATGGGAAGGTGTTTTCTTTTTTTAATATGGGGGGAAAAAAAAAACCTGGCAGAGTTAACTAGAAGACAGCATGATAATGAAATCCAGAGAGTTTTCACAATCTAGATTTTCAATCAATAAGGGTTTTTTTTTCCCATTGTACATTTGTATCATAGGCTACTGAATGGCATTAAGCTGATGTGTACACTGAGTGTACACATTAAGCATTTTAGAGTCTTGAATAAAATGTACTAAATCAGAGCACTCTGTGGGCAATGAAATCTAAAATTGAAGTATATTAAATAATGTTAATAACTAAATCATTTAATCCCCACCAAAACCTTGTGAAGTAGGAATTATTTAAAATCGGTATTACTTATTCCTTTTCTAAGATAAGAAAATTTAGATTGAGGGAGGCTCAGTGACTTATCTAGATCATGTATCTATTGTAAATGGTAGATGGTTCCAATCAACTCCAACGGTTCGATTCTTCTCACTGTAGCACACAGGATTAATCCGTTCCTCCTCTGAACTCCCACGGCACTAATTATTGCTCATATTCATTAGCTCTGCTGATGCTACATGCTTTAGATGTCATATTATCTTGTTTCCTATTCTATTAATTTCACTTCTTATTCTTATTATGCTCTTTTGTATGTCTTTGGCCTTTATACTGTTTACATTTTTATTGTTTTATGCTTAGCTTATATTTTATTGTTTGTACTACAATAAATGAGATTAAAGCTATAAATTTTCCTGTAGCACTGCTTTAACTGCATCCCACAAGTACTGACTTTGAGTACTTTGGTTGTTGTCCAATCCCAAATACTGTGAAATTTCATTTTAAACTTGTCTATACACAATTACTTAGGAGTTTATCTTTTTTCTCTAAAGGGCTTTCTTTAAACCTTTTTACTATTAATAATTGCAATATTATCAGATAACATGGATCATGTGATAACAGCTCAGAATTTGTGAAGACACCTTTCACGGCCTTGCCCTTGGTCACTCATGAAGTTGCCTGTAAATCCTTGAACCTCATTGTAAGAGGCCAGAATAGGCTACTTAATCTGTATCCCATCTCACAACATACGGATAAATAGATAAGTCTTCTCTCAAGGTTTATTTCTAACTCCATTGAAAATTCTTCTATAATAGGTCTGTTTTCTTGGAAAGGGAGATTCAGTAAAGAGGAAGAAGAATAGCACCCAAGTTAGAGTTTATGTTTGTGCAGAAAGTGGATATTAATTCAAATATGTAACTAATATTGCTTCACAAATTCTATTAACAGGCATTAAAAGTCTGATTTGAGGGTTATGCTACAATATAGTATCTCCTTTTAGAATAACTGAAAACAATACAAAATAAAGCAAAAACAAACAAGCAAAAAAAGGCCACTCCCAAGAGGTTTGGCTTTGTAAAAATACACCCCAACTGTCCAGGCTCTTCACTCATGTTCACAGCATAATAGGACCATTCACAGTTCAAACTATCCATCAAGCAGGGGGCACATGCCAGGGGCTTTTCTTCCTGCTACTGTGAATGGCGGTGACTAAAAAGGTTCAGGATTTTTAAATTATTTCCATTTCCCCGAAATTTTTTTCCCTCTTTCGTCAACTTAAAGTCTTACTTGAGTCAAATAGAAGTAAGATTCTGTTTTAAAAACAACAAATGACATGTATGCTTCCCCAAATTCTACACTTAAGCTATTCCATATAATAAGATTAAATTATTTGGATCAAATTAATTTTAAATTCTAGAAAAGCCATTATATCTATAAGATAAATAATATAAACTGACAAAGTAATTGAAAAATCAACTGAACTGCTTTTTGTAGAGTAGAGCAGAACAGAGATTTTTATTATGATAGTTAAGAAAGAGTAAATGGATGATCTTCAAGGGCCCATGAATCCTATAAAATTGTGAACAAAATATTCTTTTGAGGAATATTTTTTCTAAGGAGGGATATGGCTTTTATTATGAAATTCTCCAGAATAAGGCAAATACAAGCTATGAAAATGGTATTAGACATATTTTCTTTAAATTACTATAAAAGCTTAAAGATAAATAACATAGACATATTTTATCCTTTTCTCTTATAAATTTCTAGTATCTAAAATTTTTTTAAAAATCTTTTACAAGATTATTTTATTTTAGAACCAAATTAATTTCAAGAAGCATGAAGAATTTCATGAGGCACGAAGCATTTCTGAACCTAGGGTCGTTTTCACTGACGCTCCTGTAACAAATATACCAGAGCTTAACTTTTTTAACTGATGTTAAATTTGGCTGTCTCTCAATGTCCAAGCACACAGCATTTAATTAAAGGGCTTTTTCCAGTTTCATTTAAATAGGCTTCTTCCTTTTTACTCTCTCACAAGGAGCCAAAATCTTGGTTAAAAATAAAATGTTGTAAGCCATTTAGGACCAAAAATTAAAAAAGGCTCCCAACAGAAAATAGCATATAAGCAAATTTACATTTAAGGTAAATGTAAATTAGGGAAGTAACTTACAGTCACCCTAAATGATCACTTTTTTTTTAATGTTACAGGACACAGTTTCTTTCTAAGCTTAATCTAGAAGCAGGAAGGAAATTCCAAGGCTCATATTCAAAGGAAGAATGTTATCCTGCAAGAATGAAGTCCTTGTCGGAAAAATTGACAAACCTCTCCCTGACCCCACATACCTTTCTCTCTTAGAGGAAGGCTTTAAATCAACAGGTCTGATCAGTCAAGTTTACTTAACTGCAAGCAACCAAAGCTGACTTTGGTTGATTTAAGCAGAAAAGCAATCAAGCAACTAATTAATTTGGTATTGAGTAGCTCCCAGAATCACTAGGAGCTCAAAAGAACCAGTCTCAAAGGCAGTGAAGTCAGATACGGTGCCAAGAAATCACACCCGGACAGGGGTCCAGTGGAATGCACCGCTACTCCTGCCGCTGACGGTTAGATGTTGCCCCTGTAAGGTCACTGCAATGAGCTTCTCAGTATCACCTCCTGTGCCCCTTGATTACTATGCCTGGAAACCAACGGTCATGCAGCACCACAGCCTGAACTGCCATCCTTGCCAAACACTGTCACCAGGTCTTGCCCCTCTACTGCCACGTTTCCACCATTGCCACCACCAACTATACCACTTACACCACAAAAAAGAGAGCATTCCAGTCTCTTTTACTTGAAAAAAAGAGGTCAAGAGAAAGGGCCAGTTCTGTCAATGCAGTAGAAAATGAGCATCCAGAATTTACCAGCATTTATACTGAGAAATGGGCTATGTTTCCCACCAAAACTCCCAGAGTGAGAATTATCCAAATGGAGGAAGAAATATCCAATGAGGTTCTTCTATTAAAATTTGTGAATATGCCTCTGGATGCAAACACCTGTAAGAAAAAAAGTGTGGTAATGCCCTACTTTGTATCTACAGCTGGTTTAAGGATATAGCCAGTATTTAGGACTTCCATATCTCATCAATCATCCATTTACTCCTCTTTTCATTCAGCCACCATGTAGTCTGGCCTGAGCTCCTTGCCTAAATTCTTGGCCTAACCCTTTGTTTCTCAGAAACCACGCCCTGGAAGTCCTACCTTTTACGCATTTTATTCCATTCAATGGACACGAATATACCAGAGACATCCTTGGTTCCATCTATACTCCCTTCTGTCCCCACCCTGTAGAGACAAATCTGTTTCCTTTGGAGAGTCAGGCTAAGTCAGCCAAGCCAACCAAGTGTTTTTGCCTCTCATTAAGTGGCAGCAGAAATCTAAAAGTGCCAGGCAGCAACTCAGTCTCCAATTCAAAGGAGCTCTTACAGTATCTCCAGGGAAAGCATCCCTCGCTGCGTATACACAAACCTGTAAACAAGAGAACCTAGAGGTGTACACGTACAAGGAAAATATAATGACTGTGGGAGAAAATGCACCATTCAGTGAATTCACAGTATATAAGCCACCCTATAGGACAGCACCACAGCTTCGACAAGAATTTGTCTCCCAGTTGGCACTGTAACCGAGTCTTCTACAGTTTTATAAGACAAATTGCTTCTTGATGTCAGGGTATTTGGTAAACCCAGGAAATCCCATGCAAACCAGCCCACTGTTCCAAAAATAATGTTTCTTCTGGATACTGACTAGTCTCAAGATGCCAGATAAGAAGCCTCTGCCTGACTGGTGTCCGAGTTTCTCATTCCACAGAACCATTACCATGTCAACTAGTTGATAGGATTCTTGCCTTGAGGGCCAATAAATCGAAACCTTAGTCACTGTCCTGGAATACCACAGAACATGTCCAAGGAATGTACAGCAGAAGAAGTAATACAGTGGAGGCCAGAAACACAGGGACAGGCATCAAATATGAACAGATTATTCATTTTAATGATAACAGCACACATTTAACTGTTTGGATTTTGGACCTATAATGCCATGATGCTGCCTAAACCTCAAGAAAATTACAGGGTGACCTAGGGAGAGAGGACAGGATGAGTGTACCGTACGTTAATGGAGTTCACCCTAAATTTGCCAAGATTAAGCATCCACTATTGGGCTGAACATGGACTTGAGACTGAACGTTCAGTTATAGAAAAAATTAAGTTGTTTTGGGGAACACGTTTTTTGT